AGATGCAAAATACACAGAGAGCTGTGAAAACTCAGGGAGAAGGCGGCCAGCTCTGTCAGAACACGGGTCAGACACTGAAACCGACTCCTCACGAGGTACCAGAGGGCACACCCAGTGTGCAACGGCACTGCACGCCTCGGGTTGGCTGGAACCCGCACCTTACAACCAGGTGCACCCGCACCTGTCACAGTGGCCAGAGCACAGGACACCCAGTGCTGAAGAGACCTGTGGTGTGGCCACTCTGCAGGACGTGCGCTTCCTAGGAAGCGCAGCACCTCCTACCCTGGACCCAGAGGAGCTGAAAACATGCCCGGGCAGAACCTGACACAGGGGCTTGTGGCAGCTTCACTCAGAGGTGCCAGACTTGGAACCACCAGACCTCGCGGTGGGGAAGTGACAGCGAGCCCCGGGTCCCACAGAGGGGCAGTACACAGCACAGAGAAGCAGGCGCCGTGGAGCCACACGGAGCCACAGAGGAACCTGCACGCTGCCACCTGGAGGGGGCCTCCCTGAGGGCTGCACCTGGTGACTTCCTGGAAAGGCCAAGCTAGGAGGGGAGAGAGGGAGTGGTGGCCAGGGGCTGGGGAGGCCGCAGGAGAGGGCAGGTGCAGGGCCTTTCAGGGCTCCGCGTGCTCCTGCGCTGGGGACGCCTGGCCTTGCACCTCTGTCCAGGGTACTCACATCAGAGCAGCGTGGCTGTGCTCAGGGCGCTCTCCAGGGCACATCCTTGCCCACAGGGGAAGGGGCAGGCCTTGGGAGGGGGCATGGGAACTCTACTCTCTGATCCACCATTCTGTAAGTCTGAAACTTTACTAAAAAACAAAGTCTATGATGTCTAAGCAGTGTCACAGAGGCCACCGCTGGGGGTGAGTTGTGACAGCCAGGGACACTGGATCAGGCCTAGGGATTTAGAGTGGAGGGGCGGAGCCTGGCGCTCCTGCTATTGCTCACCTGGGCTGAGCGGCCTCCGAGTCTGGGACTTCAGGCCAGGTCAGCTGTCTACTGTGACCCCATTGCACTGACAGAGCCCTCAGATGCCACCAGGATTAGAGCCAAGGGAAGCCCCACTTTTCACTGGGGAGTAACAGGAGGAAAAGGGTGCTGGTACCTTGGAGGCTTCCCCCGGTGATAGAGCTGGAAGAGCAGGGCTTGGGTGCGCACACTGCCAACAGCCAGACAGCAGGGGGGACTGGACACCTGCAGTGGGGGTGAGCACAGGCAAAATGTGCATGCTGGGCAGCGGGGAGGGCCAGCCCAAGAAGCCAGCTGCTGGGGGCCGTAGTGAACTGGAGCGCAGTGAAGCGTCCTGAGCCTGGGCACCCTCTCCTCCACCTCCGACGGGGCCACCTCCTGACCCCCCCCCCCCCATGCTGGGGACTGCACCTCCCTCTGAGTACAGGAACCTCCCCCGAAGGCAGCCCAAGCCCAGCCCTGCACCTTGATGCTGGTGTCAGATGGGCCCCACACAATGGCACGTCCCCAGCTGCCTCCTGGCTCTCCAGTGGGACCCAGCCCTGCTGCACCCACGCAGCCCCACCCACGCCACAATGCAGGACGGAGCAGAACCCTCAGGTGGGCAGACCTGCTCCCAGACCTCCTGGGCTCCCGCCTTGCCCACACCAGGCTGCGCCCTCCCCACCTCCACCAGGTCACCCTCCCCATCCCAGGTGGGTGTGCTCACTGCAGTGCCTCCAAGAGAGTGGCCCATCACCATCTGGCCAGCGGCCTGGGAGGAGCAGGTGGAGGCTGAGCTTGGACCTGGTGCCCCAGGGCCCTGTCCTAAGGGACCGTGCCACCCCTCAGTGCAGGGGTGCAGCTGCAGATCCTGCATCCACCCCCCAAACACCCGGGAGCTCTCAGGACCGCTTCCCCCGGGAGCTGTGGGAGCCGAGAGTTCCACCCTTTGTTTCCACAGCTCCAGAAACCAGGCCTTCCAACCTCCCAGCCTTCCCTTCCTGAGAACTCAAAACCGGTTGGACTTTGGTAATTCGGCTCTGCAGGTGGTGAATTCAGCAGGTTCCTGATTTGGTGTAAGGGGAGACAGCCTGCCACCCCCACTTCTGCTGCCTCCCCTGGGTCCTCAAAGGGACACTGCTGTGCCCTTCCCAAGCAGCTCCCAGAGCTTGGGTTGGTGGCCCAAGCTGGGCTGGTTCCCACAAAGACCCCAGGACCCCTCCTAGCAGCAACCTGGCTGGCTCCTGGCCATGTCCTTCCCCGGAGCAGAACTTTCTCTGGGGGCCCCGGGGCTGACTTGGCTCATCTGCCCCTGGGGCAAAGTCCACTCCCTTCAGCCTGCACTGAAGTCCCCACCGCCGGCCCTGGCCACCCACCACTGCAGCCCCAGTAGCCCTGCTCCATCGTTCCCTGAATTAATCTGCCACCTGTCCCCCTTCTGTGTCCTCCTGGCCCTCCTCCCTTGGTCCCTCTGCTTGGCCCATTCCCTTTTCTGAGGACCCTCACAATGAGCATCCCCTTATAGTCGGGTGCCCCGCGCACCACCTGCCACTCTGCCACTCTGAACCCTCAGCCTGCCAGCATGTGACTATCCCCTATAGTTAGGCAAATGACACTCAGTGACAGCACAGCTGCCCCCAAGAAAAGGCCAGAGTGGCTGGGCTCGGACATCAGCCCAGTCTAGGTGTCTCCCAGGACAGTGGATGACCACTATAGCTCTTGCCATAGCCCAGCCACAGCCAGGGTGGCCAGGTGCCCTACAACAGGGTGTCCCATGCCCCGCCCCTCCTCTCTGCTGCACTCAGTGGCCACTGACCCCTCTTCCCGGCCAGTGCTGCGTCCTCACAGAGGCTGCCTCCTGACCCAGGGACAGCAGCGCACTGGGCCTGGCTGGGTGCAGGACCTCTTGTGCATCCACAAGGCAGATCCGACTGTTCAAGCCCCAACCATCAGTGCTGGGCGGGGCGCTGCTGCCTGGGCCTGGATTCACTCTGTCCCAGCACCAGGTCGGACCTGCTCAGGATGTGCCTGCCTCTTGGAGTCTGGGTCTCCAGAGACAGAACCCAGGAGGCCGAGCTGCAGGCCAGGCTGGGCAGACGGGTCTGCTCAGCTCCTCATGCCAGAGACACCAGCGGCCCTGAGGTGTCCCACCCGGTGGGCAGGGACCTCAGGAGCCCACACAGCCAGACACAGCCAGGGCAGGCGGGACTGGGAAACAGCCTGCCCAGCCTAGCTATGAGACAGGGCATCCCAGGACCCGGTGCTGAGGCTCGGCACCGGGACACCCATGGCCCCTGACGCGCACCTTGTCATCTGACACCGAGACCCAAGTGGGACTCAGCCAGCCCTCGGAGGCAGGACACAGACGGCAGCCTCAACCCTAAGTGCACCCCGGCCTGCGGTGAGGGTCCCTGCACCTGTGGGCAGCACAGCCTTCAGCACACAGGGATGGAGCCCCTCACACACCATGACCCATTCACCCGAGTGACACAGAGCCGTGTGGGCTGGGACGGCACCGCCCAGAGATGCAAAGCATCTTGGCTCACGGTGGGTGCGCACAGGGCAGGGGCCTCAGGGTGGGCTCGTGTGTCTGGGCTCCCTGAAAGACCTTTCCCTTCAGGAAGCCATCAAGTGGAGGACACTTGAGGCCACTCTTGTGAGCAGGAAGCACTGGCGCCTCCTCCCTGGCCCTGGATGCTGTCAGCACTGCCCAAACTTTGTCCCTCTGGTCAGGGTGTCTGGGATCCCAGTGCCTACATGAACTCTCCCAGGCAGCTTCTGAACACCAGGCCTTCAGCACTCCTGGGTAGACTGCAGGGAGTCCTTGGTCCTGGGCTTCTGATGAGTGGTCCTTCCTACAAACCTGTGGGACCACCTCTCCTGTTGGAACTGGGTCCACTGGGGCCCACTGACTCATCCTCTCCTAGGAGGGCTGGGGCTCCTGCCATTTACCATGGCCCTCCTAGGTCACCCTTTCCCAGATCCTGTCCTGCGTTCCTTCAAGGAGAATCCAAGGAACTCAGCAGAAGAGGACGGAGCAGACAGTGAGTGAGCCAGGCTCTGGACAAGATGGTGGGACAGAGCTGGTACCTTGCTGGCATGTTGCAGGGGCTCCTGTCTCCGGGGTCAGAGCCCACAGAATAAGTCTTGAGCCTAGTGCTTCAACCCTAGAAGGCAACGTGACTCCACGTGGGACAGGAGTGGAGAACACCAGGCAGGTGGACAGCTGTTGCTGGAAGGAATCCATGTACCAGGCAGGGGTTCAGACAAGTCACCCCAGTGGCACAGGCTTCCCCGAGCACCCTGGACAAGGCGATAGAGGGTGGCTAAGCCCCACCCCAAAGTCTTGGAGGGACCAGAGAGCATAGTGACAATGACCTTCTGGTGCCCCACCCAAACAGTAAGGACAAGCAGGTGGTCCCTTGGGGGTGGCCAAGATTTGAGGGCCAGGAACAGGGGACCTGGGGACCAGAGCTCTGGATCTTGAAAGGCCACCACCACCTTGGGAAAGTCAAGGCCCGTCTCCCACTGGTGTGACGCCCGAGGAGCAGCATGGCTACACAGAACCGGGCACAGGGGCGCAGCCTCCTCCAGGTCTGTGGGCCCTGACACCATCAGGTTACCCTCTCCCCTGTCAACCCAGGGCTGTGACCCTCCCCAGAGCCTGTAAGGACCTCACAGATGATGAGATGGGCCATGGTGCGTGGGCAGGATGGCCGCCGCCCAGCGCCAGCTCTGTCCTGGGGCCCAGGGGTGAGGTGCCTCTCCTGGGGTCACAAATTTCCTGAAGATGGCCGGCCTGCATGCTCCTGTCCCACCACCACCACCACCACCACCCCGACCGCAGGCCCTCAGGCAGCTGCTCAGTAAGTGGACCTCAGCCCCAGGAGCTGCACCTCACCTGGCAGCCTGAGAGCTGGACGCTGCCCTGGCCATTTTCTGTCCTACAGCCAGAGTAGTGGTCGGAGCCCAGGCCAGAGTTCCGCCCCTCGGCACAGCCCCGACAGAGACCAAAGTCCTCCGAGGCCTGCACTGGAGCTGGGGTGGCTTCCCCAGCTCGGCCTCCCACACGCAGTCTCCCTCTTCCTCCAGGACAGCCTGCCCTGGCTCCTGAAGCCGCCTGGACCCACCCCCGGTGGGCGCCACCCCAGCACTGCCCGGGGCCTGCCCTCAGGGACTTCAGCACCAAAGGGGGCCGGGAAGGAGTCTATGAGGAGACCAGGCCTGGACCAGGGCATCTGGCCTTTGACAGCATGGGACAAGGACAAATCACCATGTGTGCTTGCTGCAGGGGACCCCCATGGAGAGCTCATGGTGGGTGTTCAGGATGGCCAGAGGGAGGAGTCTGTCATGCCCCAGGGAAAACTGACCTCCGGTCACTGCCCCCAGCAGGTGGGACCCTCCAGCCTGCCTAGCCGTGCTGTGGGCACACTCCTGGCCTCGGGGGCCTGCTCTCAGCCCTCCTCGAGTCCAGCTGCGGAATTGACACTGCCTGTGTCCCAGGCCCTGGCCAACCTCCCCAGCTTCGTTGCATCTTAACGGCCAGGCTGGGCACGAGAGTCGGGGACACCCAGGGACCCAAATGCCTGGGCGGCCACAGATCAGCCCTTCCTCCCTCGGAGGTTGAGGGTGAACTACTCTGGACCATCTTAAACGGTGGCAGTGGCCTGGTCAGAAGCACTCTCTGTTCTGGGCCCTGGTGGGGGCTGCTGGAGTCCGGAACGGTCCCCCTTCTCTGAGTCTCTGAGCCCCTGGGTCAGTGCCAGGGCAGGTGGAGGGAGGCATCTGAGGTCGCCTGCACAGGGAGGGGTCTGGGAGCTTCTGAGGGGGCAGGTTGGGGTCAGCAGGGATCTGAGCAGGTCCAGAGTCCACGGGGGAGGGAGGAGCCATGAGGCGGGGCTGGGGGTGTCCCTGCCCCAAGGTGGCTCCCAAGGCTAGATGCTGGGCCGTGCTGCATCCTCCTTCTCCTGTGCAGGCCCCGGTGGACCATGGGCTGTTGGGGGAGGGGAGCTGCAGAGGGTGGGTGGAGCTGGGTGGAGTCCAGAGACAGCGGGTCTGACCTGGGGCTGGGGGACGCTCCACTGTGGCCCTATCTCATGTGTCACGTCAGGGTAAGAGTGAGCTCTGGTTCTGAAGAGTGTTGGAGGACCGTCCAGGGCCTGTGGAGGCTGAGCTGTGGGGAGATGTCTATGCTGGGATGCCTGGTAGGCAGGCGCACTTAAGAAACCCTCCTGGAGGTGGGGGTCCCCTGTCCCAGGGTACCTGGAGGTGTGACACACAGTGAGGTGCAGGGAGACGGCCTGGGAGCTGACAGCTGCAGGCTTGAGCAGGGGCAGCCAGCAGAGGGAGGAAGCTGGGGTGGGTGGGGGGACCAAGGGGAGTAAGGGTATGGGGTCACCAAGGGCCACGCTGAACTACAGGAGCCTTGGGGACCTGGGCAGCACATTCCAGGAGTTAGGGATGGGTGAGTGGAATAGGAAAGGCCAGGCTCGGGTGGGCCCAGCTCCCTCTGCAGGGATGCCAGTTCCTGGGCGGGACCCAGAACACAGCCTCCAGATACAGAATGGCAGCTGTGTGGGTGGGAGTAGGGTCTGACCCCTGCCCATAGCAGAGGGCATCCCAAGGGGGCTCGGTCAATGCCAGGGGTCCTTGCCTGCTGTCTTGGACCAATGCCCCAACACCTCCACCAATGCTTGGCTGTCACCCCTCAAGTGGGGACTGACAGTGCTGGATTAACTGGTGGACCCTTTCAAGTGGCAGGCACCCAGCCGGGCCCACCGCCCTCTAAGGGAGCTGCTGACTGCCTGCCCTCCTGCCCTCAGGGACACTCTCTCAGGACCCTTGTTAGTGCCTGCCCACTGGCCTCCCAGAGCAGAGCACGGCTGAGCAGCTGGCTGGTGCCCAGGCTCTGAATTGATACCAGGGCTATCGGGGTGCCCCAGGAGCACAGGGGGTGCACGCTCACTCACACCCCCCGGGCAACTGCAGTCCAGGCAGGAGCAGTGGGAGCCCCCGGAGGGGTTTCTGGTACCCAGGAGGAGGCTGAGCGACCTTAGGAGGCAGGCAGCGTTGTTCACGCTCCACAGCCAAGCCCACACGCTGACCTGAGAGCCCAGGGGACAGACTGAGCAAGGGACCAGGCAGCCAGAGGAGGGAGAGCAGGCTCCTGGGGATCAGTGAGGTGGCAGAAGCTCCCAGAGAGCTTTCAGGGACACGACAGAGATGAAATGGGTCAGCGGGCAGGGGCCACTGGCCCCTCGGGATAGAACTCAGGCAGTCCTCTGCAGTGACCGTGGGGCTCCAGCCAGCTTCAGAAGACAGGCCCACCAAGCCCATGTCCTCTAACTTGCCCTCCCAGCCCACCCCTCTCCTGTCCCACTGAGCCCGGGGAGGGTGGCTGGGGGCTCCCTGCCCCTCCCCACTGTAGAAGCTCCGTGGAGACCCCCCTGGATGAGCAGCAGCATCTGGCTTGTTTCTCTTGGCCCCCACCCAGGTCCTGCCACCCCCAGGCTCCACCTTGAAGTCACCCAGGCCACCGCCGTCCAGGAAGACCCTCCCCTTCAGGAAGACACTGAAACTTTGATCTTCCTAAGCTCCCAGGAGACCTGACCTTCCTCTCACCTTGTCCAGGAGTTACCTGGGATCCCCACATCCCTAACTCACTGGGCCAATTAAGAGAAGAGCAAGACGAAAGCTCAAGAGTCCTGGGCAAACTGCTCAGGTGAATGGGTCTTACTGGGTTTCGTTTGGGGTAGCATCTTTTTTCCCTTCTGATGTGGAACAAACATCACTCCAGGGCAGACTGCAAGGACCTTCCCATCCAAGCACTGAAAAGCAGCAAGGAACCAAGCAGCCCCTGTGTCTACAAGTGCATTTGGGCAGATGTCAAGCTCAGACCTGTACCCAGAGGGCAGCTGAGCGCACAGACAGGTGCGGCCAGGACCATCCAGGGCCACACAGCCAGGGTGGGCCGTCCAGAGGCTGGAGGCTCACTCTGTGGGACTCAGCAGCCTGCCGACTACCAGCCACGCGCCACTGGGCTCCTGGGATCCCCACACCCTTCCCCAGAGACGGGGAGGAAAGGCGAAGGTGAAGGCAGTTGGGCTCTGTCCCTCCGGCCCGGCAGGCTCCACAGGCTCCAGGGAGCATGGGGTGTGGGGTGCTGCAATGGTGGGATACTTGACCCATTAGGCCCCCAGCCACTTACCAATTTTGGCTAAGCTGGCCACGAGAATCCAGATTGCGATGATGTAGGGGTCCTGGACGTGGTGCCATTTGAAGGTGACTACCTGGAATCCCTGGCTCGCGCTGCTTGGCTCCTCCTCGAAGCCCCTGACTCTTGGCAGTCCGCCCAGCGTCAGCACCAGCGCCAGCAGCAGTCCCCAGAAGGGGCCCGGGGACTCGCGCAGCCACATCGCCGCGGCTCCTCAGTGCCGGGTTCTGATGCGCATACTGAGGTAAGTCCCTGCTGCGCTCCGCTCGGTCGGACGCGCGCTCGGGGCAGCGGGCAGCGCACAGAGCCCAGAGTGCTCTGGGTGCCGGCGGGCCGCAGTCCGTCCCCGCCCGCCCGGGTGGCCTTTAATCCCACGGCCCCCTCCCGCCCCAGGGCGGGGCCTTCCCGCCCCCGCTGCTCACACGTGAGAGCTGACAGTCGCACGCTCGTGGCACGCCCTCCTGGCCTGTGCACGCCCATCGGGCAGCCGGACCCCCGCCCCAGGCCAGCGCGCCGGTGCCGCCTGCTATGCTAGGAGCCCACCACCCGGAGGGCGCCTGAGAGTGGTCGTGCCAGGAAGCATGAACCAAGAGCCGGCCGCGAACCCGGCGGCCGCCTCCCTCCCTTCCCGCTCAGCTGTGAGTCTTTGAGTCGGCTGGCCGGAATGGGCCACATCCCCACGGACTCTACCCGATGGGTGGGCCCAGCAGGTCTGAGGCCTAGGGCGCCCCTCTGCGGTGACCGTTGGGCTCCTGGCTGCTGTGACATTGGCAAGGCCTGGGACAGCGCAGACCCTTAATGGAAGAGGACCCTGACTGTGGGTCTGGCCTTGGACTCCAACCCACACTCCACGACAGGGCTGAACAACTTGTCAGGAACTAGGGCTCCGCTTCCTGACCAGCGAGGCTGATCTTTAGGTCCCTTGCCCCTGCCCTCCACACCGCCCCTGGTCTCAGAGCTCAGAGGAGTATGAGCCACTCTGGCTTCCAGCAAGAGGACCTGATGTCCTTTATCTGCCCTTGACTCCCCCAGGACAGCACTGCAATCCAGGAGTGCTGCCCTAGGCACCTCAGGCTCCCTAGGGCCTGGCAGAACTCCACCTCCCCCAGTGTCCTCAAGTTTTATGGTCGCATATAAAGTGACCCCCCAAGGCACCTGTGTTGAAAACTTGGCTTCCAATGCAAAAGCGTTCGGGGAAGTGATCAGGTCATGAAGGCTCTAACCTCCATGATGGATTCATAATTGACGTCGTTGTTGAGAGGTGGTGGGAACTGCAGGAGGGAGGACCTTGTGAAAGGACTGGGCCCCTGGGGACATGTCCTTGGGGTCTGTGATTGTCCCCAGACTCTCTCCCTCTACCTCCAGATTCCAAGAAATGAGTCACTTTGCTCGCTGTGTTCTTCTACCCGGAAGTTCCTTCTGCCTCACCACAGGGCCAGAGACAGCTGAGCCAGCTGGTCATGGACTGGACCCTCTGGAACTCCCTTTCTCCTCTACACTGATGTCGTCAGGTACCCCGCCACAGTGATGAAGACCTGCCCAGCCACCAGGTACCACACTGCCACAGCCACATCCTGGAGGCCCCTTCACCTGCCCCTTTTGGTCCCTTATTGGAATCCTTCAACTCAAAGGAAAGCCCTAGTTCTCCCCAGATCCAGTGCCCCTATCTGTCCCTAACCCTCAGTGATGTCCCCCCAGCTTCCCAGGTGGACCCTGCCCCTTCTCTGGGACCCCTACCTAGAAGGCTCCTCCATGTGCTCCAAATGCTCACCCTTCAGCTCCCTGAGGTCTTGGCTCCATTCCTGACCCATCAGTCCACAGTTGGGAGACTGTCCTCTTCCCTCTCCTCATCAGCTCAGCCCTCTTCCTGAAGTCCATCTGCTGGACTGCCAGTTGATGGGCCAACTGCTCCATGAAGTACCTGCCCAATGACAGGGGGCTTCAACTGCTCAGCTCTGCACCTGGGGCATGAAACAGTGCCTGGTGTGTAGCAGTATCATGAAAGTCAGGTGCACAGATGGGTGGAGGGACATGGGTGGGCAGAGGGTATGTGGTGTCTTCTAGCACCTGAACACAAGTTGGGGCTCCCAAGAAGCCCAAGGAGGCCAGCACTGAGTTGGTTTTCCCATTTCCTGCTGCAGGGAGGAGGCCTATGTAGCAGAGCGTGGATTCACATCCTGCTCAACTGGGTGGTTTGGCTGGGTGGCTAGGTGCCGTGTGTGGCAGGATCTGGCACGCAGTGCTGGGGCACTGCAGTATGTGACTGGCCGTGGGGATGTAGGAGTTGCTCAGGTCCACTCCAAACCTGCTTGTTTCCAGCCCCATCCCAGTCCTGTCTAGAGAAAGACCCACTCGGTGAGAGCAGGCACAGCTTCAGCTCAGACAGCCTCCCTACCCCTCCTTCATGGCTGCTGGGTGAACCTGGAGGAGGGGCATCCTCTTGTATGCCCCTGTAGTCCACAAGAAGGCCAGATTCCCACCAGAACAGCATGTGCCATGATGTCTGATATCGCTCTGGTCGCCATGCCCTGGGGGGTTCACCCAACCCTGCCAGACCTAAGGGCCGCAGCTTGCCTCCTGTGAGCCCCAAGGCAGTTCAAAGGGCAGCAGAGCAGAGTGTTATTGTGTGGATGTGAGAATGCAGGTGAGCACTGATGGTGTCCCTGTCCATGGGAGGGAGTGCTGCCCACGGCACAGGCAGGCCACCTGAGACGAGTGGAAAGGATGCTCCATGAAGGGTGGGGAGACAGCAAGCCCCTGCTCCCACCCTCTGAGGTGGTGTGGCTGCTTGGCAGGGGTCTGGGGTACTTGGGATGCACCTGTTGCTGGGAGCCCCCCACCACCACCATGTGCTGCCCATGCCCCAGTGACTGCAAAGGGTAAGAGAGTGAGGACACCTGCCTCTCAGGCAAAAGTCAATCTGGGTGTGCATAGTGTGTTCACCCCCTCCTTGGACTGAGGCCATGGCGGGGGGGTGGGGGGGGTGGGTGTCTGTCCCCATTGCCTCTTGTTCTCTAACCAGGCCATGATTTTAGTTAAGCTGTGTCCTGATGGGCAAGCTGTATGCACAGCGCCCCCTGGAGCCCAGCAGCACACCATGTGATCTAATGGCTGCCCACTCGTCCACCCTACACACTAGCTCATGTGGTTCTCTTCCCACAGTGGAGGGGCCTTGCCATGCATGAAAGTGAAATGTTGAAACAACGCTGAAGAGTAGTCCAAAAAGAACTGAGATCTACCTAACTGGCACAAGCATCCAAGCTTTAAAGTCAATGGGGAGACATCTAGTCCCTCACATTAATTTCTGATTGAATTTCTTTTGCATGGTTTGTGAAAAACATCTTATGAATAAAGAGGCAAATGGTTTGAAACCTAGTTATGCTTTTGTTAAGAATACGGAGACGAAAGTGAGTTTTCAGCATAACAAGTTTAAGGACATGCATTCACCCTACCAGTTCACCGTTAGACCTGCAGTGGCCACAGGCCAGTTCTTCTCAGGGAGGGAAAGGCACACAGGGCAGCTATGATGGGTGCTCCCTTCTCCAGTTTACCTGAGCACCCACTGGGTGCCATTTAGACACTATTCCAAGCAACCTGACCCCCCCCCCCGCCCCAGCTGCTCTTCCCACAGCCATATCTCTATCAAGGACAGATTTGTCGTTTCTTATTTAATGGCTGCAATATAACTGCATTTTTCAGAAACAAAGTATTCCCATCAGGGTACCTCTGCCTATCGGCATTGCTTGAGACCCAGGGTTGGACAGGAAGGGGCCGGGGAGCTGCCTTGTGGCTCAGCGGGCACTCACGTGGGCAGGGGTCTCATTACCTAAACCTGCCTCCAACGTTCCTACCTCTCCCACGGTGAGTGGGTACCACCTTGGGGACGCGCGGTTTGGCCCCAGAATCCAGGAATCGGTGGAGTGGGCTGGGGGCGTCGGAGTCAGACCCCAGCACCCTTGCCGCTGCAGTGTAACTGGGTCTGGGGTCTGCGCAGCTAGTTGGGGACGGCCTCTCGGCAGCAATAATGTGGGCGCTCCAGGCGACTCGCCCCGCGCCGGACCGCGGCTTGGTGAGCAGAACGCCTGGACCCTCCAGGTGGGGCGCGCGGGGCCGGAAACTGGGGCAGCAGGCTGGGCCGGGGGCGGGGCCGGGGGCGCGGCGCGGGGTCCAGGAGCCCGGACTGGGGACCGGGGACGGGGCTGGAGGTCTAGGTTGAGGCATGCTGGTAGGAGTGGCGGGGGCGGGGGTCTCTGCGCTCTGCAGACACCAGCGCGACCACAGCCGCCGCCCCGGCCCCAGCCCCGCGCCGCAGAGCGCAGCCGCTCGACCCTGGGGGCTGCTCCTGTCCCTCCTCCAGTCCTGGGGGATCCCAAGGCCCCCTCCGCGACAGGACCCAATGATTCTACTGAGCTCCCTGAGACCGCCCAGGAGACTCCTCCCACCTCCCGCTCCCGCGGCCGCGTGGTCCCTCGCGGCTCCCCGCAGAGTTGCCTCCGCCCCTTTCTGGACCCCGGTTCCTGGAGGGACTTGCCGCGAGCCTCATCCTCCAGCGCCAGAGCTGCAATTCCGCAATCCCTCGCTGGGCCCCCATCTGCTGCGTGCCCTCCAGGGAAGGGGCTCCACAGACGGGGGGGGGCGGGGGGGGGGCTGCGACCCTCCTCAGGCCACAGCTTCGTTCAGCGCAGAGGCGGGACCTCAGTCCTTGGGCTCCAGCCACGAGGAACTGTGCTGCAGTGTGGCCTGTGGGACTTAAGAGCCCACCAGATCCCCATCTCCACTGGTCTTGGGTGGCAGGGTGACCAACCAACCGCCCCCAAGACAAATGACATTGGGAAAGGACTAGGCCTGTGCCACTCATGAACGGAGATACAGACACAAGGACACCACATGCTTCCAGTAATGGATGAGATAATCCCCTTGACGGAACTGATCCGGGAAGGAAGGTCGTGTGAAGGACAGGAAAGGTCATCACTGACAGATTGAGGGGAAGACAGCTAGCAAACTTAGAACAGGAGCAAGTTCCATGGATCTGATAAGTACCTGTGACCTGGACCTGGTCACTGATGACTGTAGGAAGGTTTCTTTCTCACTGAGAGCAGAAGCGTCTGTGGTGCCTGCTGTTGGTGCTGTGCAGAGGGAGCCCCAAGTTCCAGCCAGAGAAGGAGCACCAGTGTAAGAATTGCAAAGGAGGAAACAGACCATAATTGTTAGCAGAAATAATCCCCCCACTGGGGGGTGTAGCTCAGTGGCAGAGCACTTGCCTAGCTGCTGGAGGCCCTGGGTTCCACCCCATCCTCTGCAAAATAAATAAATAGTATCCCAGAGATTTGGAGGCTGAAGCAGGAGGATTGCAAAGTCCAGCCTGGGCACCTCAGCAAGACCCTGTCTCAAAACAAAATTAAAAAAAAATACGCTGGGGGGCTGGAGATGTGGCTCAAGGGGTAGTGCGCTCGCCTGGCATGCGTGTGGCCCCGGGTTCGATCCTCAGCACCACATACAAACAAAGATGTTGTGTTCACCGAAAACTAAAAAATAAATATTAAAAAAAATTTTCTCTCTCTCTCTCTCTCTAAAAAAAAAATACGCTGGGGATGTAGCTTAGTGATAAAGTGCTCCTGGGTGAACCCCCCCCCCTCCATCCCACCATAAATAAATAAATAAATTCATGTCTCACTCAAAAGAATTACAAGTTACACCCTTGTGTGGCTTACCAACTTCATCTGTGGGCTGGGTTCTGACAGCGACCTCCTAGCCGTCACGTTTGGTACCAGAGCATTCTGTGACATTCCCACAAGGACAGAACTACCTGAGAAAGTGTCCCTGTCATGAAGCAGGGTGCCACTGTTTTAGAAGCAAGGTTCTGGCTACAAAATCAACATTCCAAAGTCAATTATATATATTTTTTGTAATCTTTTTAGAAAATGAAAGTTAGTTTGGAAATATTATTTACACAACATCAAAAATATGATATTCTTAGAGAAGAATGTCACAAAAGTGGAGAATTAACCAGTGAGGCCACGGTCTTGGAAAGATTGTAAGTTATGGACTTAATTTCACTAATGAATATCAGACTATTCAAACTTTTTTGTGTGTGTCTAATTTGATAATTGTATTTTTCAAAATATTCTTCCAGTACCTTTTATGTCTGTAAACCCCTGCAATGATGTCTCCCTCTTTATTCTACGGATGCTGGGCTCTTTTCTCTTCAATGACCAGCAACTGCTAGAGGTTTATCAGCTTTATTCATCTTTTTGCGGAATCAGATTTGGTGTTTGGATTTCCTGTTACCTAACATGGATTTCCTCCACATTATTTCCGACTCCTGTTACACAAAATTCATTATTATTTCTCTATGTTCTTTACCTTTATTTGGTGTTCTTTTTCTACGCTTCTTGAACTGAAAGCTTGAGTGACTGATTTTCAGCATTTCTCCTTGAACACATGACTTGTTCAATACACTGTAGGTCTCCCTTTGGCACTCAGTTGTGTGCATCCCAGAAGTTTTTGTGCTGTATTTTCCTTATTTAGCTCAAAATGTTTTCTGATTCCTATTGGGGTTTCTCTCTGACATATAGGTCACACAGAAGTGGGTTTCTTTACTTTATCATTGCTTTATTTCCAAATATTTGGAGATCATCCTATTGTCTTCCTGTTACTGAGAACTAATAGTCCCATCATGGCCAGAGAGCACATGATGCAGGGTTTCAGTCCTTTTTTTTATTTTTAAGGATTTGCTTGTGATTAGGAATCTGGTCTATTTTGGTGAATCTGCCACGCGTGTTGGTGAGCGTGTGCATCCTGCATGGGGCTCTGGCAGAGCCATTTGGCCAAGCTGGTCGATTATGTCATTCATCTGTATCCTGCTCAGGTCGTGACAGAGGCTAAGCCTTCCTCTGCGTGGTGGGGTTTTGCCGGTCTTTGGAGCCCTGACTTCTGCTGTTGGCTCTCTCAGCTGTGTAGTGTACATTGATGCAAGGTGGCCAAATCCTAGGCTGTCCTGGCCCCTGTCATCACGGAATGCCCCTTTCCCCCTCCCATTTCTTGCCTAAAGTTCACTGTGACAGGACTGTTCCCACACCAGCCATCTTTTTGTTAATGTAAGTATATCATCTCAGTTTTTAATTGTCCACCGACGTGTGTCTTTTGTTTAACTGTAACTTTGTTTCTTATTGGGTCGGACAATTTTCATCTTTTATTCATCATTCTTAACTAATGATGTACAAATGGCAAACTGTGGCCCTCCAGATCTGGACCATGTAGCTGGCCTCTCCCACTTCACGGGAGCAGACTTGTCCTCCTTGTCACCCACAGTGTCCCATGCCCGAGTGGAACCTGAGTCCTGCTCCTGCGCGGCTGGCTCGGAGGCCAGCGGGCTTGCTCGGTGATGTCCTTGACTGTTCTCTCCGCCTCTCCAACCAGTTATTTTCCCTCAGCATTCTTTTTATAATTCACTTCCCTTGAGCAAATATTTGCCTGGACTGTTAGGTCCTGTGTGTGGTACAGGTGCACGTGGGCCTCCAGCGGTCCACAATCAGTGCAGGGGAGGTGGCCCTTGTGAGGAGCGTCTGAGGCCACAGGAGGAAAGGTGGCTGGTGGGGCTGGTACATGCCCCCACCCCCACTGGAGGCCCCTAGCTCCTGCCGTCCCATGGCCTCTCTGCCCTGTGGCGTTCCGATCCTTGCCCACACGGAGCCTGGCAGCAGCAGGTGTCCCTGCAGCCTCACACTTGGGTGATCACCAGGTCCCCCCCTGCTTCCTCTGGTGTCCCAGGCCCCCAGGGGCTCCAGACGACCAGGCCCTTTTGCCCTGTCCCTGGGAGGGCCCACTCTCCACTGCCAAGGCCCAGCAGCAGCCCTCTGGTCAGACCCAGGCTACGTACTAGCTGAGGCCCCAGAGCCCAGCCCGTGGTCGTCAGACCCCTAGAAACACCCTGAGTCAAGTGCAGCTCTGCGAGCAGAGGCAGGGGAACAGAGCACCACTGCCTGGGGTGGCGGGTTCAAAGGAGCGCCAGTCTCTCTGAGCCCCAGTCTCCCTCTGTAAAATGAGGGTGAGTCCTCAGGCACCAACCACAGGGCTGGGCACGGGGCTGGCACATGAGTGCTGGCCTCTGTAGGCCCACAGCTCAGCCCACAGCTCAGCCCACGGCTCTGCCCACAGCTCAGCCACAGCTCTGCCCACAGCTCAGCCCACAGCTCAGCCACAGCTCTGCCCACAGCTCAGCCACAGCTCTGCCCACAGCTCAGGCACAGCTCAGCCACAGCTCTGCCCACAGCTCAGGCACAGCTCAGCCACAGCTCTGCCCACAGCTCAGCCACAGCTCTGCCCACAGCTCAGCCACAGCTATGCCCACAGCTCAGCCACAGCTCAGCCA